GAGGGCGCGCGGGTCGCGGCGCGCGGGCGCGGTGCTGCTCTTCCCCGGGCAGGGCAGCCAGTTCGTGGGGATGGGCCGCGCGCTGCTGCGCTACCCGCGCGCGCGCAGCCTCTTCCGCGCGGCCGAGGCGGTGCTGGGCTACGACCTGCTGGCGCTCTGCCTGCGGGGGCCGCGCGCCGAGCTGCAGCGCACCCGCCACTGCCAGCCCGCCGTCTTCGTCGCCTCCCTGGCCGCCGTGGAGAGCCTCAGCCACCGGCAGCCTGACGTGAGCAACGCGCCGCGGGACGGGACGGAGCGGGCCGGGCYGGGCCCGCGCCCACCGCGCCTCGTGTCGCCCGCAGGTGCTCGAGAGCTGCGTGGCCGCCGCCGGCTTCAGCGTGGGCGAGTTTGCGGCGCTCGTGTTCGCCGGCGCCATGGACTTCGCCCAAGGTGCCTGCAGGCCTGCCCTCCATCCCCTGCTGCATTTGCACGTGCCCTCTTACCTTTGTTTATAAGCTACATGTGTGCAGCTTCCTTACTTTTGCCCTCTTTCCCCTCCTCTGTTCATCAGCCCGCATGTGGCGAGAGGCAGCCCCGCTATCCTCCCAGGAGGACGTTGACTGTGGTCGGGTGCTTGCCCAACGTTTCCACTCCCATGTTTTCCCCCCTCTCCCCGCAGCACTGCACGCGGTGAAGGTGCGTGCCGAGGCCATGCAGGAGGCGGCCGACGCTGTGCCCAGCGGGATGCTCTCCGTCATCGGACGTGCCGCATCCAACTACAAGGTGGCCTGTGCGGAGGCCCGGCAGCACTGCGAAGCGCTGGGCGTCTTGGACCCCGTGTGCCAGGTCTCCACTTACCTCTTCCCAGACGGCAGGGTCATYGCCGGGCACCTGCAGGTACTGCCTTGGGGCTAGCGACCCTTTGCACTCAGCTTTTGGGKCTTTATTCAGTAGGGTGCAGAAGTATTTGCTTGGTTTGTGATGTTTTTCAGTCTGTGTCTAGTAGTTGGGCAGCAAAAAGGAGTTTTTTCAGCACCAGGGAAGCTGTTTGCACAGAATGAATGAGCAAAGGCTTTTCATGTAAGTAAGRGCTTTTCTCTGCTCTCTCTCGTAGGCTTTGGAGTATTTGCAGGCGAATGCCCGAAAGTACCATTTTATACGCRCACAAATGCTCCCTGTGAGCGGCGCTTTCCATACGAGACTGATGGAGCCAGCTGTAGAGCCCCTGGCTGAGGTCCTGAGGGACATGGACATCCAGAAACCCCTCATCTGCGTCTACTCCAACGTCAACAGCAAAAAGTACATGCACGCGGAGCACATTAGGAAGTTGCTGGTCAAGCAGGTGGTTTCCCCGGTCATGTGGGAACAGACCATGCACTCCGTGTACGAAAGGAGGCAAGGAACTGAGTTCCCTTACACGTACGAAGTGGGGCCTGGGAAGCAGCTGGGGGCCATCCTCAAAAAATGCAATTTGAAGGCCTGGAGACAATACMAACATGTGGACGTTTTGGAAGAGGAGGGAGAAGCGGAGGATTAAAGAACTTTTTTGAGAAGAATCCACGCGGCCTGTTGCTTTCTCCTGCTCGGTTTAAAATAGCGCAGAGTTGCCGAGCAGGAAGAGCTGCGCAGCGGTGGCTTCTCGCGGCGAGGCRAGCGCCGCTGCCGCGGCTGCAGGCCATGTTTGCCTTCCCCACGTGGCCACTCACGTGGGCACCTCTGGGGCGGAACCCCAGAACAACTTGGGTTTTCCCTCTGTGTCACGACTGCAAAATATCAATAAATCAGCCAGTTAATGCTCTGGTTGGCCTCAGTCCTGCAAGCAACTTCCCTTTTCTTTTGTTTTCTGGTATGGATTCAAGTTGAAGTCAGTAGGTTTTGCTGTCTGCTGTGTGGGTATCAGTGTAGAGCTGCACTCTTTGATTACGTTTCCGGATTGTGGCAGGGATTCCTTTAGCTAAGCCATTACTTTAAGGACTTTCAGATTATGTTCCTAATTCCTAAGATGATTGACCAGTGGGAGACTGTCACACGTGTAAAATACTTTTGTTTTGTCCTGTCCTCATGGTGAGCAGCTGGGTAAGGCAGAAAATAATACTAGAAATACGGTTTTCTTAAACTATTAATAAAGATTYTTCTTGGTATTTTTAATGCTGTGAGGCATATGATTACAAAATATAGTTCACAAAGAGGAGTGATTCTTCCTTCCAGTTATCAATGTCATTCTGGTTGTGAAAAGATACCAAAGGGAGAAGAGCTTCACTAAATAATTTACTAAAATTCTCTACTCTTTAAGAGATGTAGGACTGCACTGGAAATCTAAGACTTTTTAAGTGGATGCCTTTGTATGGGATGAACTCTGTAGTAACCATGTGTCAGGTAAGGAGAATTTGGATGTTAACATTTCAGTTCTCTATATTCACAACTGTGAAGCAAGGAGAAAAACTTAGAGGGTAGTATTTGTTAGGGGATCATTGACAAACAAGTGAATGTAAAACAAGTCCAGAAGCTTCAACCTAAACTTTTAATCCTTACAGGTCTTAATCTATTATCAAATGCAGATTAAACTCCAGTTGTAGTATTGATCATCTGATAATTTCACACTCCTGAAAGGGGAAGCAAACCGTACTGGTGTGGACTATGCCTAGTCGTTGGAATGTGTTATTGAACGGTTCTTTGTGAAATTGGTGGCTGATACTGCCTTTTAGTACAAGTTCACTTTTGGCATGTATAAACATTAACTATTACTAAAACAGAGATGGCTTTATCTTTGAGTGGGCTGCCAGTTAAATGCTGAGATTGGTGTTTAGAAAATAATTTCCATGGGGTTTTGTTACAGCTCATGTTTAATTATTCAGTAAAGCTGATCACTGGATATGGGTAAAACAGCTCCACCAAGTCACACCTTGTATTATTAAAYACTGAGTTAACGTGCTGTGCTCGGAGCATGGAACTACCTCTCTTCAGACCAAATGTTGAAAACCATCTTTTATAATAGGTGGGATTGCATCTCACAGTTGCTGCTCAATGATTATTGCTGTAGTATTCTCTAGTCTTTTTTGTTTTGTTTCTATTTCAGCAGTTCTTTCCTGAGAGCTGCTTGTTCGAAACCAGAAGCCCAGTATATCTTACTCTAGGCTGATGTTACAGTTTATGTAAGCTGAAAAGCACGTGGAGTAATTAAGGATGTTGGACCTGATTAGTCTCTGAAATGTGCTCCTATCTACTGTTTCTGGAACCCRAAGAGTTGAGTCATAAAAGTCAATACAGCTGCCTCAGGAGGAGCAGGCTGTAAACCCCGTCACACGAGGAAGCCTGTGCTAACAACAGGTATATTTGGAAGCCTGAGCCCTGAAAGCCTCTCTGTCTGCTGGAGAAGGCCGCGCTGCTCCAGCGCTCRCTGCGGTGCCCATTCCCCACACACCTTGTGGCAGCAGAACCCGTTGGCGGTGCAGTTCGCTGGGTCTGCAGGCGCGGTGGCATTTTGTGCTCCTCGGTGCTGTGCTTCAGCCCTCACGTGCTGCTTGTGTCTCCAGACTGAAAATGCTGCGTTGGAGACTGCAGTGCAGAAGGGTGAAAGGCAGAGCCATCCCATCCAGCTCGCACATAGGTAGCGTCACAGTCTCCTATTCACAGTTGCTTCCCTGTGCGTGAAGATTGCTTATCTAGGCATAAATGAAGCTAATTGGTGTTGCTTGAGCCATTAAGATAGGAGTTCAACAGGGCAGTCAATTCTCTAGTAGTATTTGTGGTCTTTGTTTTTTGGTTAGGTGGGCAATTTAGTTTGCCACCTTCTAGTCTTAGCAAAAACTAAGGCACTAAGCCTTCTGTTGAAAGAAAATGYCTTGTAGGCCTGTTGTGGAATGGGAAATCAAATTGTGTTTTTTTGGAGATGCTGGAAAATGTTGGTACTTGAAAGCTGGGGTACTGGAGCCACCCCCCTCCAAGCACCACATTTTGCTCCGCATTTCATGCCAGCATAGGCTGTGCCTCMAAAAAGCACTAGGCCATTAAATACTGTGCTTTCCTCTTTCAAAAATACATAAGGAGGTGGGGAGAGAGGAAGTGGCCGTCCCCTCCGCTAAGGGGAATGCCCGAACCACAGCGAGGTGCTTTCAGTTTCCCTCCTCACACCCAGGGCTGTAACTGTGCATGCAGTGTGAGAAAACTTGCACAGCAGAGGCTGGGGAAGAAGCTCCCAAGGGGACCGAATAATTTGGRGCAGTTGGAGCTTGTTTCTGAGGCACAAGAAACCCACCTGCCTCAGGTGGTCCTACTTACTGCCTTGTGCAGTGAGGGAGGGTGGCCCCTATAACCACCTTTCAGCAAGCCTTTTGACACCGTCCCTCACAGCATCCTCCTGGACAAGCTCTGGAGGGGTGGGATAGATGAGTGGACGGKGAGGTGGATTGAGAACTGGAGATCAGAGTGTGGGGATCAGCAGCACTGAGGCCAGTTGGAGGCCTGTGGTTAGCGGTGTCCCCCAGGGGTCAGTCCTTGGTCCAGTCTTGTTCAATTTATTCATCCACAATCCGGATGAGGGGACGCAGGGCCCTCTCAGCAAGTTTGCTGAAGACACCAAACGAGGAGGAGCAGCTGATACCTCAGAGGGCTGTGCTGCCATCCAGAGGGACCTGGACAGACTGGACAACTGGGCAGTGAAAAACCCGGAGAAGTTCAACAAGGGCAAGTGCAGCCCTTGCTGCACTTCAGGAGGAATAACCCCAGACACCAGGACAGGCTGGGGACTGACCTGCTGGTGAGCAGCCCCACTGAGAGGKACCTGAGCATCGTGGTGGGCGACACGTTGACCATGAGGCAGCAGKGTGCCCTCGTGGCCAGGAAGGCCAACGGGATCCTGGGGTGCATTAAGAAGAGCGTCTCCAGCAGGTCAAGAGAGGTGATCGTCCCCCTATACACAGCCCTGGAAAGGCCACATCTGGAGACTGTGAGCAAAGGCTGAGGGAGCTGGGCCTGTTCAGCCTGGAGAAGAGAAGGCTGAGGGGGGACCTGATCAGTGTCTATAGATACCTCAAGGGAGGCAGTGAGGAGGAGGGGGCGGCCTCTTTTCAGTGGTGGCCAGTGACAGGACTAGAGGAAACGGCCACAAGCTGAGGCACCAAAAGTTCCACAGGAACTTAAGGAAAAATTTCTTGACAGTGAAAGTGCCAGAGCCCTGGCACAGGCTGCCCAGGGTGGCTGTGGAGTCTCCTTCTCTGGAGATCTTTAAAACCCGCTTGGACRCAGCCCTGTGCCCCCTGTTCGGGGTGACCCTTTGTGAGCAGGGGGGTTGGACTAGATGATCTCTGAGGTCCCTTCCAACCTTAAGCATTCTTAAGCATGTGATTCTGTGATTCTCTRATTTCTTGAGAAAAACTGGAAAGTTGGATTAAGGAGACAGCAAATACCTGTCCAGACAGATTGATTACTAGCCCATTTGAATAGCTTGTCACTTGCTTAGTGTGTGCAATGGCCTGATCTTGGAAAATTAAGCAGATAACACTGGAAAATAGTTGAAGCAGCAGTTTAATTCTTAAACAGTATTATGATTTTAATCCTTAGTATTACTTTTTCAGTGTTAAAATTTAAAGGATGACCAGCATTCCTTCAGTCTTCCACAATCCAGAATCTTTTTTATAAAGTTGCTTATATGAAGAGACACTTTATGTGTCTACTTTATGTTGCATTAAAACAAAACAACAAAAAAAAAGATAGAAACAAACTTCCTAATCACCTAGACTCCCATTTCAAAAATAGCAAGTCAGGCAGTTATCCAGCAACAACCTCATGATACTTAAAATGTTTTTCTTCTAAAAAAAGGTATGAAACAGCAGTGACCCAGCACTAGCCTAGGTTTTAAATATAAAAGAGATTTTTATCAATGAAAATTTGAAAAACAAACCAGCTGCCACCACCTGGGTGTTGAGTATCTTGGTCAGAGTCCAGCAATGACCTCCTATTGCGACGCTCTACGTTAATTCTGCAGTCCATAATTTATGGTCCACCAAAAGGCCACGACGAGCACGGCTGCGGGCACCAGCTTCTGGCAGAGGCACCGGAGAGGGAGCCTCCAAACCTGGGGAAGAGAAGGGYCGTGGTCAGAACCAAGGAGCAGTGAAAACGTGCTGCAGAAGAGCTGGCGGGAGCGCCTGCATGTAGGGTTAAGGTTAAACTAAGAGCACAGCCCAGGCCCTTGCCAGARAGGGGTGTTGGAGAGGTCGAGTGCTAGCGTGGTTCTTGCAGTGACGTGTTCCTATCTAAGCTCTGAAGGCTGCTCAGCTGTTTTCTGGAATATAAAGTGCAATCCCACTTGCTACATCCTAGATGGGACTGTTTTCTTAAAGCTTTTCTTAGTGAAAAATCCTGTCTGCACAAAGCCCCTGTGATTCCAGTGGGGCTTGGGCAGTGGTTTGATTCTGTTTGCAGCCTTCTGGCACACACTGTGAACAAGAAATGTCAGTGATTTAAAAGAAGAGGACGAAGTGGGAGTGGAAGGAACAAACTAGAGAGTAAATCCAAACCTAGACACATGTTACGTGCTTTACATTTACATGGGAGTCAAGGGTTGCTGTTGCCTGCTTCTCAAGAAAAGGAGTGCAGGTAAGGGAGAAAACATACCCAGCTTCCATAGCCAATGATCCTCTTAGTCCAGTTATTATTCCAGAGGTTTCCAAAGCTTCTTATAACACTTTTAATAATATTCCATGTCTGGAAAACACTGATAGCAACCCTAATTTAAAAAAAAAAAAAGGAAAGAGGAGATAAAAATATATTTAAAATTGCAAATAGCATACTAGGGTTTAGGAAATTGTAGAGAGAAACCCAGAACTCTAATATGTTCTTTCTGTGGAGAACATACATGTATGTAGACATAGACTTGTGTGTTTCTATAAATACTTAGGAAGGAGACCTAGTAACTTAGAAGGGCTTAAAGGCTAAATAGTCTTCCCCATGTGCCCCCCGCCCCCCCCCCCCAAAAAAAAAAGCATTGTTTATGGCTGGCTTCAAATTGAATGTAAGTTTCTTTCCACACTGTTCTAAAGGAAAAAAAGTCTTGATTTTCCTGACTGAAAAATTTGCAATTTCTCCTGCCCACTGGTTAGATCATTAGAAGTCAAGACACATATATAGTAATAGAAAATGGGATAAAATGCAAATGATATTTTAGTCTACTTAGTTTCAACATCTCCTCAACATTTGTTACACCTGCCTTTGTATGAAATGCTATAGCTTGTTTTTAGAGGTAGTTGATCACCACCATCACCCAGGAAAACACCCTGGACTGCAGTCTTGCGCCTTTGCTCTTCTTTTGAACTAAGAATAGTGCAGCCCAGCAGGTGCAGTTCATCCTTAATGAATCAGAGTCCAGTGCAGAATATAAAACTAACGTGAGCAGC